TAGGGCTCGATTTGGCGCCCGATGTTCTCAAAACCCGATGTTGCCGACGCGTCGGCGATGCGGTGCGATCCTCCGACCCCATCTGCATCTAGGAGGCCAAGAGTGAGGTAGGACATGTCCTCCGACAGCAGGGTGATGGGCGCAAAAACAGCAACATAAATACAAACATTGTCTAACATAATCGGAAAATCGTCCCCTGAATGTTTTCAAACATTTTTTGAATATTCCTCCTGTAGAGGGACATGCCCGACTTAGGCCTCCAAGGGAGGGGGGAGGTGAAGAGGTACTTGCGTGCGCCGTCGAGCACGTAGGCCCCAGTCAAGGGGAGTTTGCCCCCACCGTTCGCCGCGGAGGGCCTTGTTTATCTTCCCAGAGATCCGATGTCGTGATTTTCTCGAGACACCGGTTTCTCGTCTTGAGTCGTTCTGTTGACGGTCCTGGGGCCCAGCGAGGGCCCCTCGAGGCCGAAAAGTACGATTTGTTCAAAGCGTTGGATCTCTGTGTTTTTGCCCCCCGGCGCCCAGCCGCGGATGCCCTCCCACGGCGGGTTGCGAGCAGCTTCGCGCGGGCGCGCTCTCTCGGGGAGCTCTCTCCTCCTCCTCTTCCTCCTCCTCTTCCTCCTCCTCTCCCTTCTCCTCCCTTCTCCTCCTCCTCCTCCTCCTCCTCCTCCTCCTCCTCCTCCTCTCCCTTCTCCTCCCTTCTCCTTTTCCTCCTCCTCCTCCTCCTCCTCCTCCTCCTCCTCCTCCTCCTCCTCCTCCTCTCTCTTAGAACCGGCAGCCTCGGTGGCCTGCCCTGCCGGGCCGGGCCGCCCTCCTCGGCCGCGCGCAGGGGCGGGCCTGCGCCGGAGCGGCCTCTCTCGTGGCCTCAGTCGGGCATGTCCCTCTGCAGGCCGGGGGACTTCCGAGCCGGGGGGACTTTCGAGCCCTTCGAGAAGGCCCGCCCCTCCTCGCTTCCCCCCCTCGCTCGCCGCCGATGCACAGTCGATTGCAACACCTCGTCGGACACTCCCCGCACGCTCGCGCGCCGGGCGCACTCGGGCCAGGCGCGCAGACTGCAGAGTCGCGCCGTCTCGCGCGTCCAGCACGCAGTCACACCCCGACTTCAGTCGGGCCTGTCCCTCTACTCTACAGGAGGAATATGCAAAAATAGTCGAAAAATAGTCAGGGGACTTTTTGCGATTATGTTTGACTATGTTTGTATTTTTGTTGGCTGCTTTTCGCTCTTCGCCCAACATCCTCCTGTAGGAGGACACGTCCTACCTAACTCTTGGCCTCCTAGATGGGGTCGGAGCAGATGGGGTCCGAGGATCGCGCCGCATCGCCGACGCATCGGCGATGCGGCTTGATGTGGGGCACAGTTTCCTCCACGCCGACGTCGCCGGTGCATCACCGACGTCGCAAGTGCATTGCCGATGCACCGCCGACACACCGGCGATGCGGCCCGCCGAGGCTCCGTCGTCGGCCCTGTCGGCGGTTGTGCACCAGCCTGGTTTTGAGTCGGGCGTGCGTCTCTACAGGAGGGATATTCGAAAACAATAACATGGGGACGTTTTTTCGACTATCTTTTTTTAGGCTTACTTTTTTTGATTTCTCCCCTCCTCGAAATTCCGCACCTAAGCTTAAGTCGGGCATGTCCCTCTACGGGGGGAATATCCCAAAAGTGTCAAAAGATAGTATGGAGGCGATTTGTTTCTAGCATTTGTTTGCCATTTGGGCGCGCGTTTGGACTACCTGTCATTCCCCGTCCCAAATCCGCCTGTAGGGGGACATGCCCGACCTAAACCTGGGCGAGCGCCCCCGAGGGTGCCCCGGATCGTCCCGGAGCGGCCGCCGAGGGCTCGCGCCGTGGCCCCGGAGGCCGCCCGGAGAGGCCGCCCGCGGCATCCGAAGCTGCGGATCCTCGGGCTGCCCAGGGCCGATCCGCTCACGGATCCAGCACTGCATCTTCTACTCGGGGGCGGCAAAGAGAAGGGGGTCATGGCCCCAGACCCCCCCGCGCCGTGACGAAACCCACGACGGGTTTGTTTCGCTATTCTCGGCCTCCGGGGGGCCCTCGCTGGGCCCCAGGGCCGTCAGAAAACGGCTCAGGACGAGAAACCGGTCCCGGGGAATGGGTCGGGACCTCGGGGGGGCGACGTAATGAAGAAATCACGACGTCGGGGGTCTGGGACCAGGGGGTGGGTGGGTATCATGGCGAGGGCCATGACATTTCCCCAGATATCATGGCGCCTCTTCTCACTTCAAAACGTCCCAGTGCCGCCGGCCAGGATTTGCGCCCCCCCCGTCTTGGACTCCGCCCTCTTTGCCGCTCCCGATCTACTCAATCCACTCCCTGCCTAGCATGCTCTCCCCCTAGCCTGAAGTCGGGCACGTCCCTCTACAGGAGCAACCCTCAAGCACAGTCAACAAAAATAGCCGGGGAACGACTCTTCGACTATCCTTGGCTGTCTTTGCATATGTCTTGAGCATGTTTCGTTTTTCTACCCAAGTCCGCCTGTAGGAGGACATGCCCGACCTAACACACTCGCCGCAGGGTCGTTCCTGCCCTTTCTCGCCCTTGCCTCCCGACCACCCCCCCTTGCCTCTCGTTGGCGGCTGGGCGTCGGCGCTGATCATTGGCGCCGCCTCGCTGATCTTCAATCTGGCGGGCGCCACCCCGCGATTGGCCCGAGCAGGGGGACCGATCTTTTTAAAACACGCGCCCCCCACGGATCTGTCACTCACAAGGTGATCGCTTTTTTTATTCACTGTTTTGCCGATCGGCGGGGGCCGTCGCCCCCATCCTCCCCCCCCCGTGGAGTAGGTCTTGGCTGTTTCGGCGCCCGTGTTTCGAGCAGGTGGATTCTCCCCTCATAGGACGCACTGTCTCAAACAGTCGCACTCAGCAGAGGTCCGGAGCCAGACCCCCCCCCCTCCCCCCCCCCTCCCCCCTGTCGAAACGCCGAAACGCCGAGACCCCCCCCCTCCCCCCCTCCCCCCTCCCCCCCCTGTCGAGACGCCGAATACAAAAAACGCTCACAAGCTGACGTGCGGAGGACATGCCCGACCCGACCCTGGCCGCAGGCCCACGCGGGTCCGCCCAGCAGTGGCCTGCGCGCGCGCGGGCCTGGTCCTCCCGCGGCCCCCTCCCCCCCCTGGGGAGCCGCGCGCCCCGAAGGTCGCTCTCTTGCCCAGGGCCGCCTTGCCGCGCAGCTGCTCGCGCTCGTTGTCGTCGTCGTCGTCGTCGTCGTCGTCGTCGTTGTCGGGGAGGTGAGGGCTGAGGGGGGTGGGAGGCGGAGAGGGGCGCCCCTCCCTCCTGCTTGCCTCTTCCTGCCTCTTCTGCTTCTGCTTCTCTCTCTATATATATATACATATATATGCTGCTTCTACCTCCTCCCTCCTTCCTCCCTCTTTCTTCCGCTCCTACTCTCTTCCTCCTCCTTCCTCCCTCTTCCTCCTCCTCCTCCTCCTCCTCCTTTGGATATACCGGCCTATCCGCGACAAACGGCCTCCACGACATTCGTTCGTGTCCTCCAGGGCACTGTTCACAATGAGGCTGACGTTGCTCATGACATCGAAAGCTCCGGCAGAGCTGATGTACCACTGGATTTCCTAAACAAGATATTGCAAGTTCCCCCTGCAGGGTTTCTGATGCAGTCGTTGGTGCATTTTGTCTGCACCAATGCGGCGGTTCTGGTTGTCGACTATGCCAAACAATGTGATGATCCTCCATTGGTGGTGACCTGCCAGATAATGAGCCGGACCAGCCTGCACGCATGATGGCGATGCGCTTTGCTGTACTTCTTCCCTGCTTCTCCCCCTTCTCCTCCTCCGCTGCTGGTTTCTGCCTCCCTCTCGCAGTCAGTTATTTGCTTCGCCGGAATAAGAGTTACGTTGCCCCTGGCTCACGGGGTGTGAGCCATTCCCCCATCACGGCACGAGGACCGCCTCAATGCCCGATCCGACCGACTTCCCTCTTTCTTCCGCTCCTACTTTGCGCTTCTCTCTTCCTCCTCCTTCCTCCCTCTTCCTCCTCCTCCTCCTCCTCCTCCTAATCCTAGTCGTCCTTCCTATTGTCCTCGGCCCGTTCACAGACGGGGGGCACAAGCTCCCCTCTGCTGTGCGCGCCGTGCCCCCCCAAGGGGGTCCCAAGCTCAAAAGATGTGGATTCTACGAGTTCACATGCAGCAGACGCGAGCATGCATCCCAGCAGCACTGGCATAGAATCGGGCCGCCAACGAATCTCAGCGTCGTGGCTCTAGGCTCACCAGGAGCCGTGATTACAACAAGTTCTGGGTATCGCCGTGGCCTCCCGGGGGCCCTCGCAGGGCCTCGGTACCGTCAAACAACGACTCAGGACGCTAAACTGGCCCTATAGGGAAGTGGTCCAGACCTCCAGGGCCAACGAATCCGAAACATTGGGGCAGCCGGATGTCTGGGACCCGCCAAACCACCCCAACCCAACCCGAAGGCCCCAAGTTGCCCTCCATTCCCAGTGGAGGGGGGGGGGGTTAGGAAATTTGGGGAAAACACATGAAGCCCGCCCCCCCAACCCGAACTTCGGGTCTTCGGGTTGGGTGGGGGTGGCCTGGTAGGTAGTCAGTGTTAGAGGTCGGAACAAGAGCGCCAGACTCCTCCGACCAGCGCCCCTGGGCGAGCGCGCCGCCAGCCACACGCCCGGCACCCGCAGGGGCTCCTCCACACGGTCCGCCGCGTGGGCAGCGGGGGCGTTGAGGGCACGGCTGGGGATGGCAGGGCCGGGGGCGCCACCAGGCGCCCACGGCTGCCGCACCTGCCTCTGCGGGACGCCCGCGTCCACGGCCGTGGGCTCCCCGAGGCCCAACTGGGCACGAAGGTCGCGGCCAGTCGGCGAGCCCCGGGCGGACTTGAGAGCTCCCTCCGCGCGGCTCCCCGCGCCGTCTCCGCCCGCAGGGCCCCGGCGCTGCTGGGAGGCCCTGCGGAGCAGGGACAGCCTGCGCATTGCCATCGAGCGCTTATTGTTTGCGCCTGCGCTTCCGCTCCGCCTTCCCCTGCGCCCTCCTTCGAGCGTGCCTCGCATGGTTTCTGTGTTCCTCTGCATCCGACCGCTCCGGGCCCGTGGAGAAACATGGCGCTTCGCTTGGCGACCCCGGTAAGATGGCAGGCCCCGGCGCCGGGTCGCTTGGACCAGGGGCGCACCCGGCCTGCCCCCCAGGGTGGAGCCGAGAGGGAAAGGGGCGAAGCCGCTCGGGCGGATGCCAATGGGGGGTGGCCTAAAGGGGGGGCGAGGAAAAGGTTCCTTTCGGGCCTCTGCTGGCTCCGAAAGGGGCCCCACCAGGCTCCTTCAGGGCCCTTTTCTCCACCCCCCATTGAGGCCTCCCCCCATTAGCACCCGCCCGAGCCCCGACCGTCCTCTCAGGCGTGGGATCCGGGGAGGTTTGAGCAGTCCCGCCCCCGCGCCCGACCGAGGAGGACCGAGAGATGGAGAGCTCCGAGGAGGCCGATCCCACGCCCCATGCCCAGAAGGCCCGAGAGCTCTCCCATCCGACGGTTCGCCTAGTAGGGGGCGCCCTGCGGAGGAGGGCATAGGTGGGAGGGGGAACGGCCACATGTCTCACACGCCGTTTCACCCCCAGCAAGCGGGGGTCGGCGGATTTCATCGATGCAGTCGACACCTGGCGAGTCGGTGCACGACAGAAAGGGCATGGCTGAGGTTTTGCCGATTTGTTTGCGCCATTGCATTCACGACCTGACGGGGTGAATTCCGTCTCCCAGACCATGGGAGGAGCGAGCAATTGCAGCACGCCCGCTTTCACCGATGAGGAGCTGGAGAGTGCCTTACGACGTCTACCAGCATGGAAGTGCTTCAGACACCAGCGGTATAGCAGCGGATGTTGAAGTACGGATGCGAATCCCTCAGACAGGCTTTACGGAAGCTTGTCAACGACATCATCTCCGATGGCACCACTACGTAGCAGCATTGGAAACACACTCATAAATCAGCGCGATGTCCAAACCAGGGCAGCCCGCGCTAGCGCAGAACGACCATCCTATCTCAATGATCCCAGTCATGTGCAAATTATTCCCTCGTTTGCTTGACAGTCGATTGGGGCCCATACTGGGTGACGGGAGCCCCCTGGTCAGGCGGGTTGTCGGCGCCGCTTCAATATAGTCGACCATGTGTTGGCGCTCGACACTGTCCGAGAGAAAACATACGAATTCCAGCTCCCACTATGGGTTGCTATATCTGGTAAAAAAATGAAAGCGTTGGACACTGCTTCACATCGGCCAATATGGGGAGCATTGCAGGCACACGGGGTCCAGAGGCTTACGTCCATCTCATCGCGCACATGTGCGCCGACCAGGTTGCTTGCGTGAAAGCAGATGCGCGCAGCTATATATTTATACACGGTCAGCACAGGAAGCAACCCCGAGCATGCAGCCATCAACGGCAACAGCATCGAGATACTGTTTCTTTCGCGTCGCAGAATAGTCATGGGTCGACACCTAATTTTCTGTGACCCGACTACGACAGATATGGAATACATAGTCGACGTGACATTGGCAAAGCTCGGTCTTCCCAGCCAAGATCGAACTAGACGTTCGTATTCTCTGAAGGACCGACTCTCGCTGTTCATGGGCGATGGCAGTGTCGCTGCAATCGAGAGTGCGGTCCACGCAGTGGCACATTATCATAATGGCTTTTGGGTCACAACGACGACGCGTTCCTGACACAGTGGAACAAGAAGAAGGAACATAATAATAAGAAGAATAAACATAATATTAAGAAGGAGAAGAAGAAGGAACAGAAGAAGGATATTAAGAACTTCCCGACAGCAACGACATTCACGCCATCCGTGGTAGCACGACCACGGCATTGAGCTCGCGCACCGCCGCAGATCATCTCGAACCGTGAATCGACCTGCATTCGGCGCGCGACAAATCGTGGATAATATTATTGGAACGCAATGTGATACGAAAAGTGGTGCACGTGGCATCGCCGCTTGCAGTGGAGGCGGTTTGGGGGAATGGAGCCGAAAGGCTTTATCATGGGACCCGTCCGCGACCAATGCACGCGCAAAGAAGTTATCATCACAATGACCCATCAAGTATGAATCGACGACATGACGCATTTCACCCACGCGGCTTCTGGAGAGGATTGACGCACAATTATTCCGAATAGTGTTCTGTGGTCCCCAATGGGGGAAACTTCCTTGCAGCGGCATCGGGGAACATCGCGTGCAGCGGCTTCGTCAATGACAGGATTAGTGAATCGGCCGGCCGGCTTTTTCGTTCCCCTCCGCTCCGAAGCATGTGATATGCTTATATTTGTCGACGCCGCGGCGCTACCGCTTAGCCCCACGTGGGGCCGTCCCGCTGGACGAACCGGCGCAATGTCCAGTGTCCAGTGTCATCCTTCCGCCTTCTTTCTTCTCCCATTTGTATGTTTTCTCTGCCTCTTTCCTGCAACTCGCCTCCTCTCCTCCTCCCTCCTCTGCTTTCCCTCCCCCCCTCGGCGCCGCTGCGTCCAGGCCTGCCGCATTACAGCCGCGGCGCGCCCGGGCGCTCAGGATCGCAGCTGCGGCAAGCTGCACGCGCGCCGCTGTCAAACATCAGAGGAGGGCCAGTTGACACAGCGGTAGTTGGCCTTCGTGGGCTTCTTGGTCGCCATGGCTGGGCGCAACTCGGAAAACTATTGCGTTTGGGCCCCGGGAGGGGTCCGGGGACCGATTTTGAGCCGCCGCCGCCTCAGCTCGCCCTGCTCCGACAGCAGTGCCTTTTTGGGGGCAGGCCGACTGCGGACCAGGACTGGGCAGGTCGGGTTGCGCAGACGCGAGCCGGGCGGGCCCGCCGGGGTGCGTGCTCTCCGTCCCGCTGCAGGTCTTGTGGCCCCGCGTTGGTCGGACGACGGAGAGAGGGAGAGGATGGCGAGGAGGAGTAGGGGATGGAGGAGGAGGAGGAGGAGGAGGAGGAAGAGAAGGAGGAGAAGGAGGAGGAGGAGGAGGATGGGACCAGGAGGAGCAGGGAGGAGGAGGAGGAGGAGGAGGAGGAGGAGGAGGAGGAGGGGAGGAGGAGGAGGAGGAGGAGGAGGAGAGGAGGAGGAGGAGGAGGAGTGGGAGGAGGAGAAGGAGGAGGATGGGACCAGGAGGAGCAGGGAGGAGGAGGAGGAGGAGGAGGAGGAGGAGGAGGAGGAGGAGGAGGAGGAGGAGGAGGAGGGAGGAGGGAGGAGGGAGGAGAAGCATGAGCGGAGGAGACACAAGCGAGATGAACTCTGCAGCCAGCCGAAGCGAACTAGGTGAGCCACGAGATTCAGGGGGGCCGCCACCCTGGCCGCTGGAAGGCTCCGCTTAGGGTGACCCCCGCTCGCAGATGCCGCCCAGCCTTGAGGTTATTCAAGGCAGTCCCTCACGCGCGACTTTACACAGCGTCTGTCAGGACTGGGGTCTGTCGGGGGCCGGCCTCTCCGCCGTGCTGTCGTCCCCCATCCTGTCCCCTCCGAGACCTGAGCTCACCCTAGCCTAAGGTCGGGCGCGTCCCTCGACAGGAGGAAGATTCCCAGACAGCCAAAAAATAGCAGGGGAACGACTTTTTGAGTTTTTTTTTTATCTAATAACTATTATTAGTATTGTTATTATTATTATTATTATTATTATTAGTATTATTATTATTATTATTAGTATTATTATTATTATTATTATTAGTAGTAGTAGTAGTAGTAGTAGTAGTAGTAGTAGTAGTATTATTATTATTATTCTTATTCTTATTCTTATTATTCTTATTCTTATTATTATTATGATTTTGTAAAAAAAGTTTGAGTATTGTTGACTATTTCCCCATATCCTAAGGATTGGGGTTCTTGTTATTACTCTGACGCCTCCCACTCCTCCTCCTCATTCTTCCTCCCGCTCGCGCCTCCCTCCTCCCAATGATAATCACCAGATAAGACAAGACAAGATAAGATACTACAAGATAAGATAAGATAGCACAAGATATGATAAGAAGAGATTTCAAGATAAGATAAGATAAGATAAGTTAAGCTCACACTCACACTCTCTCATGATCACAAAACGCTGCCAGGGGCATCACTTGGGAGCCCCAAGGGGGAGCCACCCTGGCTGATCTCACGAGCCCGTTCGCGCCGATTTTGGTGGGACGTCTCAGCTAGAATTGCCGTTTGGCCTCCCCAACATGTATCTCTTGAGAGCCTCATGGTCACAAAACGCTGCCAGGGGCATCATTTGGGAGCCCCAAGGGGAGCCACCCTGGCTGATCTCACGAGCCCGTTCGCGCCGATTTTGGTGGGACGCCTCAGCTAGAATTGCCGTTTGGCGTCCCCAACATGTATCTCTTGAGAGCCTCATGGTCGCAAAACGCTGCCAGGGGCATCATTTGGGAACCCCAAGGGGGAGCCACCCTGGCTGATCTCACGAGCCCGTTCGCGCCGATTTTGGTGGGACGTCTCAGCTAGAATTGCCGTTTGGCGCCCCAACATGTATCTCTTGAGAGCCTCATGGTCGCAAAACGCTGCCAGGGGCATCATTTGGGAGCCCCAAGGGGGAGCCACCCTGGCTGATCTCACGAGCCCGTTCGCGCCGATTTTGGTGGGACGCCTCAGCTAGAATTGCCGTTTGGCGTCCCCAACATGTATCTCTTGAGAGCCTCATGGTCACAAAACGCTGCCAGGGGCATCATTTGGGAGCCCCAAGGGGGAGCCACCCTGGCTGATCTCACGAGCCCGTTCGCGCCGATTTTGGTGGGACGCCTCAGCTAGAATTGCCGTTTGGCCTCCCCAACATGTATCTCTTGAGAGCCTCATGGTCACAAAACGCTGCCAGGGGCATCATTTGGGAGCCCCAAGGGGGAGCCGCCCTGGCTGATCTCGCGAGCCCGTGGCGAGAGAGAGAGAGAGAGAGAGAGAGAGAGAGAGAGAGAGAGAGAGAGAGCAAGAGAGAGAGAGAGAGAGAGAGAGAGAGAGAGAGAGAGAGAGAGAGAGGAAGCGAGAGAGAGAGGGAGAGGAGAGAGAGAGATAGAGAGGAGAGAGA